CGCGAAAGGTATGTGTTCCACCCACTGAGTCAAAGGTTTAACACATTATCAGGCAAGTGCTCCACCAACCGAACTAAAACGTTAACAAATTATCAGGCAAGTGCTCCACCAACCGAACTAAAACGTTAACAAATTATCAGGTAAGTTCTCTACCAACCGAGATAAAAGGTTAACTCACTAGCAGGCAAGTGTTCTACTAACTAAGTTAAAAGGTTAACACACCAACAAGTGCTCTACAAACTGAGCTAAAAGGCTAATTCACTAGCAGATAAGCGCTCTACTAACTGAGCTAGAAGTTTAACTTATTAAAAGAAAGTGCTCTACCAACTGAGCTAAAAGGTTAAATCACTAGCAGGTAAGCGCTCTACTAACTGAGGTAGAAATTTCACCTACTAGTAGGTAATTGCTGTATCAACTAAGCTAAAAGGTTAACACACTACCAGGTAAATGCTGTATCAACTAAGCTAAAAGGTTAACACAGTTACCAGGTAAGTGCTCTACCAACTGAGCTAAAAGGTTAACATACTATCAGGTAAGTGCTCTAACAACTAAGCTAAAAGGTAACCCACTACCAGGTAATACTTCACTTAATGCAATATACATTATAAAATTTAACATTTTACAGCTGCATGTAACTGTACAATTCAGTGAAACTGCAGACGATTTAAAAACAGTTTTATGGAACAAATGTGCGAATATACACCAGTGATTAGCGTGCTGGGCTTGAGACAAAAAACGTTTTGAGTTCGAGTCTGGACATGAACACACTTCACGCTTTCATTTGTGACATATTTTTTAGTCGAACCAAGTATTCGGTTAATATTAGCTTTTTAGGCTACTGGTTCTGCTAACTACACCCAAACTTTGATATTTCTAACCTGGCCGTTCAGATTGAAAATAGATAACAGTGGAAGAGAGGAAAGATGGTCCCTGTATATTATCAGTTACGATGTGCTTCGACCAGAGTGAATTATATGTACCTGTTGTTCACGTGACCCCGTGCTGAAATACACCGAAGAACAGGCGCGAATTTGGATGATCAAAGCTAGACTTCTGTTTGTTTATTTTTAACTTTGTTCTAGCGTAAGCACTTTGAATGTTTTATGATTACGATGTAAGTCTTTCATGTAATTTCACTTTGTCGATTTCAAACAATGAGGAACTTTAGACAGCCGAACATGCCTTAAGTGAAAAAGGATGAGTGGAAACCTCCTCCTCACAAGAGGTGTCTTATCTTATCCAAATGAGGTTTATTTCTGTCAAAAACTTCGGCTGCAATGTACCCAACACTAGAACCCACATTATTTATCACCATTTGTTCTCCTGAAGAAGAATAGTCAACTATTAGAAAGCGCTCGAGTTTTGGGTCTTATTGTAAGTTTATTACACTTTATATGTGATCCTTTGTGCTAACTCTTTTATCAAGATTATTTATCACTATTCTTCTTGATAATAGGCAACTTCATAATGGAACACGGCCTTCCTGATTCCAGCCGTGAGCATCTAAATAATGATTTAAGTTTTGCAAATACAGATGCTAAATACAACTGTTATCTTAAATTGCAGTTGTTATGAAATAGATGGGGTCCAGCATATTCCATCTTGGAGGTCCATTTAATCAGCCTTCCAGTGGCACAGCGGTATGTCTGCGGACTTACAACGCTAGAAACCGGGTTTCGATACCCGTGGCGGGCAGAGCACAGATAGCCCATTGTGTAGTTTTGTGCTTAATTCCAAACAAACAAAAACATTTTATCAAACCTTATAAGTGTAAAATGGTACCCAGTCACACGAATTGATTTTTTGATATCTAAAAACGATCTGTCAAATCCTTATTTTAACTAAGAATAACATTTATGATAAAGCAGGGTTTCTTCTAAAAAGTTTTACTTTTCATGATTTCATAGTAATTGGTAAAAACCGCATTCAGAGTTACGTGGTCGTCTTACCCCATCTTCCCCTAAATCTAATAATATCTTAATGATCACAGTAAAAAAAGTGTGAAAAAATTAACCAGTATATGTACTTACTTACACCGAGAAAGTTTCAAAAAAGTTAATGTTATGTTGATAACTTAAAGAAGTCACTTTGCTGTTTCAGAACCTAAATTGTTATTTTGATGAATAAAACGATATATTTGTTACATTATATATATATCAGAGTTTTGAAAAGCTGTTATAATGAAATAACTGATTTTATAGCTCTTGATAGAAAAACACGTAAATATTGTTACTATTATTTCTTTTTTATGACTGTAAATAGTTTCGTACAAGGTTTAACAATCAATTTTAAAAATAGCATGTCAGTTTTTAAAAAACGTAGTGCTCGCTGAAGATTTATGGAAATGTTAAAAATGTAGGTGTGACCTTCTACTCCAGAACTTTGCATGTTGAACGTTCCGTTTATACTCTTTTATAAAGAGACGATACAACACAGTAATGAATCTGGTACAACTCGAGTTTCAACATTGATTAAAGACAGTACCTTGTTTAATTCGTACGTTATAATAACTCTATGTTAAACATGTTGGAGATAATTATTATCTTATTTTCCAAGTTTCAGTTATTAAGAATTGTTTATCATAATCGATTTCAGCCAAATGAAATCTGATTGAACATTTAGTCATACCGATCATTTAGCCACAATAGATAATGCCCTCATTGATCATATAATTAATATTCGTTCAAACGTCCTTGTAATAAAGTTAACTAAGACAGTTAATAACCCTGTACTTTATACGCATCGTTAGATTTAATATTGAATTTTTACAGTTAAATATAGTCGATAAGAGACGACAATTTCCACGTTAAATAGTTAAACTAAATAAGGGGAAGGCTTCTGGTCACCGCCAGTTCTTGGGCTTCCCTTATCTGACTGAATGATGGAATTAACATTTTAAAGCTCTACACGATCGCAGTCAGTGAAAATGGGTTCTGCGAGTTGTACTTTACCGTTTAGGTTCCCTCAAAAACAAACATATAAATATATATATCATTGCTATTTAGATCGTATTTGTTTTCACTGTTTCCAAATCTCAGCCCTTAAAAAGATTACTAACCTGATTGATCGTTGAACTGTGCGCCACCTATTGTAACTGCGGCCCTTTGCCAATCATTGTTTTTGAAGACCTTGTAGGGCCAGAGAAAACAACAATACCAAAAATTCTTATGCGATTGCTTTCCCATAACCAATAATTGTGTTCAGTGTTTAGGTTGTTTTTTTCTAGTGATCTTTTTGTGTTGAACCCACATTCCAATTAAATTAAACATGAGAAAACTTACAAATTAAAGTTGTCTTTATATGCATATTTGAATTTACGCATCACCCAGTTCCAACATCATTCAAACACAAACAAATATTATTCGTTGAGTCATTACTGTGGGATCGGGAAGCAAATAGATGAACGTTATTGTTACAATATCACATAATCTATAACTACAGATAAACAGATTCTAGAAAACCTCGTTTAATATTACATACTTTGAAATAATTCAATCATAAAAAAGGACCCTCGTTATGCACGGAGCTTTAGCCCATTTATACATATAAGAGTGAAAAGTAGTTTAATCTTATAGGCATAAAATTAAGCAAGGGAGATTATTCTGTGACATGATTAATCGATTATTATAAGCCTATAATTGGTGTTGACCATGTAGATGTACAGTTGTCTGTGCTATAATACCTAAGAAACTATATCCTGTTGGAGACCAAAGAAATTAATTGAGAGCGGGAGAAAATTCGTGTGTACTGCAAGCATTTTTGTGCTGATTGTTTTGTGTTGACAGAGATAAGCCAGTAAAACCATGCGTATTTCTTTTATAAATAATTTATTATAATATTCTAAGTATACAGACAATACATGAAATGACAACATTACAATGACGTTTACCACATTTACCTCCGTATGGGCAGGCTTACTGATTGGACAGAGTTCCTTATAATAGTTCAGGAAAAAAACATCATGGGTGAACTTTCACATGAAGTATTTGGAATTTCATATAACAATAAATAATATTCACAAAAAAGAAAATTAAATATGAAAAATATATTAATTAGACATTTCGTGAAATAATTGAATTTTTTTCCAGATCTAATGTAAAAAAGCAAGACCACACGACCTAAAGCCCAAAGAAACCACTACAGTTACTAACTGTTACACACTTCTAGCCAAGGCCGGTGTAGCAAGCTCAGACTAGTAGCAACACAGATCATCTTTTTCTATCTGTATTGAACGTCCCATAATATCAGACAAGGCTAGTGCAAATGGTTTTTTAAGTCCAGAACGTTTGTTGCTAGACTTGTATAATACTATCTAAGTCCTACATATCGTGAATGCTACAAATCCACACTAAGTAATTTACATTCTTTAAATAAATACAATATTAAAAACACGTGTTTATTCTTTTTTAACCACGTGTGTGTTCACAAAAGTTCCTTAAATTTACAGTTTTTAGAATGTGTGATAAGCAAATAGCGTTACTCATGGAGATAGATCACATACTATTGGTTTATCATAGCAACGAGAAGTTAACGCAATAATTCTATATCGATCACAAACTATTTCTTAGGTCTCATTTAAGCTTTTAATAGAAAAAACAACAACAATTACTCAAAGTTAGAGAGTAAAAAACGATTCAATTTGCTTTAGGGAATGTACAGTTTTCATGTTGTCTGATAAAATTGTGTGGTATAAATTCCGACATCTTTGGACACAAAGATTATTATTCTAATTTTCACCTCTCGATAACGTCAGACTTACTATCACAGTGACTTCTTGGTTTAAAAGTATATGGGTGGAATTTTGGAAAGGCACGTTTGAGACCAGCACGTGCTGTATGTAAGCCTAACGAAAATTGTTGCAACACTTTGAACTTACTACTATGGTTTTAGTTTTCTCTATTGTCTTCTCGTGAGCGTATGATTAATGTGTAGAAATTTGTTAAATATTTGTTTTTTCATCTTAAGCAAAATTTTGAGGCAGCGAAATACTCTAATTAGAATTGACGTAAACATTGTGTAGAACTGTCACAAAATGATATGGTGATTCTGTTGCTATAGCAACATAGCAAACAACAGTGTTGAAGAGTATTGAGGTTGATTTGTTGAAGGTAAGTGTTCTCAAAATCTTTGCACGGCGAAGCTACAGCAGAGAACATTGCATCATAACTTCAATCGTCGCCGATTTGAAGTACATAAATGCACGATATATAAGTGTGTGTGTATATATATATATATAAACTGGATGAAAAACGGACATATCCATAGTTCTATTTATAATTTTGATAGAGCATTTTACGAAATAGTGTTGCAAAATTTATGTATGTAAACAAATACCTTATGATAAAATATTCTTTATGGTCCCGTCACTGCTTTAAAGTCATGACTAGGCCTACTAATGACTAAATGATCAACTAACGGATGGGTCTCTACATGCACGAAACAGCCGTAAAATACAATGTCCTCTCAACCACAGCAGCTAAAGCGTTGAGAAAATTATATTTCTGATGAGATTTAGTACATCTGAAATTTCAGCTAAAACTGCCATTCTATTTTCACACACAATGCTATCAGACAATAATCTGAATCCATTATTCTACCTATTGCAGTGTAAAATTGCTAAATTTATTATTCACTTGTTTTGCTAAAATCTAAGATTAGTATCCTGTTTCTGTTGATGGCCATCTTATCTGCCATGACGTTAAAGTTATCGTTTAATCCGTCGTCATGTTAAAACCGTTAAATAATCCATCACACTGATTAGTGGTTTGTATGATATGATATCTCAATAAGACAGATATAATATTTTAAGTCAGTTTATTTGTGATGTTATTATTTAGAAACCACCGACATAAGACGTTATTTACCACACTAATCCATGATAATGTTGAATTCGTACTAACAAGCCATATTGCTAAACCATTAGATAAACAGCTATGTTGTTAAAGTTATAATCTACATTCAATTCTGCTAAAACCATAATTTCTGTTCAAACCATAATTTAACCTGCTCTATTGGTAAAGCCAGTGATATTCGTGTTGAAATGGTAATGACAACTGTCATATCGTTAACTTAACTTCTAATATATACAATCGTAAAAAGTATTTGTTCTTTTAGGCTTAGAGAAGAATTAAAACCTCACAACTATCCTGAGTAATAAATTGTCATTAAGACAATGCTTGATAACACAACTAACCACAAAGGTATTTTAGGATATATTGGATGTGACTAGTTGCAGACAAGATATGTTTTATTAAAATAATGAAATATGTGAACGACACATTGTATCATTTAATTACGCTATACTCTGTTGATAAATGTTCAAAAAGGAATGTTAGATGTTATCACATTAATAATTTACACACGACCTGGAAAACTGTAATATACATAAACCATCTTAACATTGAAGGATATCTCTGATATGATTGATTATACGGGTTCATAAGAAAATATATATGTCGAAATATGGGACAAACGTTTATCCTCCATTTTATAAAATACAAAACTTATACTTTTTAAACATTTCATCTTTTTTACTTTCTACTTAACTTCTGTACTTAGCATAGTATCATATAATTTTGCAAAAATAAATAAAACTTAGGCACACACATTTACGGTTAGACGACACGTGGGTGAAGGACACATATCCTTACTGATGTCGGTAGTGATTAACATGATTGTGACTAGGGCACTCATCATGGCCTCTAAAAGACACTCAAATTATTAATACGGTTAACAACCAATAGGACGACAGTATATGGGTTAATGCGACCGACAATCACAGCTGATGATACTTACGAGAACGTTTTGTTACACTTCAAAAACAGTTGTTTATCTAATATTTTGCCAGAAACAAAAACACTTTCGTATTGAACTTTCAAATCGTAAAAAACCTTGCCCTCTCATGGAAACACATCTGCTAAGTATAATGATTTTTTTCAATGAATGCCGAGATACTGTTCCAAGGCACGAGTCCATATTTATTGTGTAAAATCTTAAGTTTTACACAAAGACAAACTTTATCCACTTTATATCGCATAAAAGTCTTTCAAGATGAATCTATATGTTAACTTTAAACTAATATCAGTGTTTAGTGTGTACCACAAAAAATGAAATAAGATAAAAGGTCAGTAACACCTCCCTGCGATCATACGCAAATATGACTTCTTTCCAAGCTGAAGTTCATCACGTGATATCGGTTTTAGTAAAGATATGTATTGTTGATGAGTATGTTTGGCCAAATCGCCACAATTTGACGTCAAACAGGTTCTGAAGTGTAATAACACAGTCTATAGGAAAAGCATTTTCACTCCAATTGTTCCAGGAAATTTGGTGATTTAAAATAGTCCGGAACAGTATCGTCCAATCGAGCTATTACCTTGTAGATGGCTTTTTTCCAAGACTGTTCCTGGTCCTTTCCCGACAAAATGGCTCTGAAGAACTCCTGAAGAGTCTGTTCCACCACTTGACGGAAGTGTTCTGGGACCTGCAGTTAGAAGATGTATTATATTTCTTGTGTGTGTGTTTGTTTTTTGCTAAGAATCTAATTCTGGTAAAAAAAAATGTATTCCCCAGTTCTACAGCAGAAGTTAGGATTTTTTTATCCCCTATTACTTTGTAAGTAGATACTGAATCAACATAAGAAAACGTATATGTTAAATAAATTTATAACCTCAACTAGACAATGAAAACTTGCAGCAGTACCTCAATGTGGTTGTTTCGGTTGTAGTGAAGGTTCAGAATCCTCATGATCTCAGAATTAGATGTGATTTTCAAGTCTTCTGGAGCTTTAATATTCTCTCCGATAGCTTGTCTGGCGTATTTTTCAACTTGGATGTAGAAGAACTCCCTGTAAAAAATAAGAAATAAACAAAATCAACCTACCTTATCTTATATAGTAGTGACAACTACCTTTCCAATGTCGTGTTCATTGTCGAGTCTAAAATTTTGTTAGTTTGTTTTTAAGCACATAGATACACAATGGGCTGTGCCCACTACGGGTATCGAAACCAGATTTTTAGTGGTGTCGAGTCTAAAATGGAGAAATGATTAATATGTATATAAATATATAGATATGCATAAAGTTGTTACTTGTGTTAGATTTTTGCACTAATAGAAGAAATCGTAAACTATTGATGTTTTGTTACAGATTTACATTTCTGTCAGAATAGAATACCCTGCAAACAGGCGGGACTTGTATGTTTACGTATAGCTAGCATCCTTCTTAGATAATAAAAGAAAATACAAATTTAACGAAGCTATATACTCTACACGTATAGGCTAAGATAAAGCATTGAGTAATCTACTGTAACATTAACTTCTTAAGTCGAAATTGATATCGACGTATTTCTAGTTACCATGGTAACGGCTAGTATATTGCTGTAATTTGATGATGCTAGAAGGAGAATATTGCAAACTTAATTAACGTAAAACTGTAATTAGTGGTATCAGAGCGACCTTTAAGTCCCTTGTTTCTCAAAAAAGACTCTTGGTTATCGGAGCTTTTATCGGCTAGTAATTAATTCAGTTAACAAATAAATATGATACCGCCAACCCTTTTAAAATTAACGAGAACAACATGAACGCGCTAATGGAAGCACTAATTAATCGGACGTAATTAAGGAGAGTTCCTTGTGATAGTTTTAGTTCTTCGTTCATTAGTTGAAAGACAAAGTAGGACTCGTCTTATCTCACAACGTGATACGAAGCCTCATTATTTCCACAAAACAGGCAGCATAAGAAAAATGATAAATCCAACAACTTTTTTCAATTTCAATGAAAGTAACACATGAAACTGTATATCCACATCATAGGATCTTTATGTTTAGTTAGAGTTTGCATTGAAACGTATTTTATGAAAGATAGTTCCTTGATTAGTTTGATATTCACATCTTGTAGCTGTGTTTACGGTGATTTTTGTTTTTTAGACTTTTCGCGCAAAGCTATAAAAGGGCTATCAACGCATAACTGTCTGTGAATTTGAACTGATACACTAGACTAGAGCAACGAGATGCAAACCACAAATTCGCTGAATCACAGTCCATGCACACCGATTTCCAGTGAAATTATTGTTTCTCAAACTACATCGATCGTACTTTCTAAAACAATATAACACTTGGTATCCAATCGTTTTATTGTATGACATATACTGACGATTACAATCTAAATATTGCAATAGATTGTACTTTAAGGACTCTGGAATGCCCTAGTAGTGAGCTTACCGGGATGTAGAACGAAGGATGAGATTTGAACCCGCTATATGCCGCGAAACATGCACATCTGGAAGGTAACGCTTCAATGAATTAACTCAGCATCAGTAGGTCACAACAATCGTGGAAGATAACATTTCAGTGAGTTGACTCAGCATCATCAAGTCACAACATTCGTGGAAGATAACATTTCAGTGAGTTGACTCAGCATCATCAAGTCAAACAATCGTGGAAGATAACATTTCAGTGAGTTGACTCAGCATCAGTAGGTCACAACAATCGTGAAAGATAACATTTCAATGAGTTGACTCAGCATCATCAAGTCACAACATTCGTGGAAGATAACGTTCTAGTATGACATATTTGCCTGGTGATCGAATTAACTCGTAGCCAATAACTTATTTTATCTTAACCCTGAATCGCACCCACGTTTACTTCTCAGGTATCATTTTAACCATGTTATCAATGCATTGTTTGAACTGACTTCGAGTTGTTCTCAGGTGTCAATTGAACAAAATTGTCCATAGTATATATCATATGGGCCAATTAATGAAATCTGTCCTGAATATATTTATGTGAAGATGAAATTTATTGTCTTTGACAGGAGGTAATGATTTAGTCAGTG